TAGTAGAGGAGTCTAACTGAACGAAGTCTGAGGGAGGCAGCCAAGGCTGCCAATACCTTTGTAAAGGTACGGGGGAGGCAGAAGAAAGGCCAAAAGGTAAGGCCCTGTATTGGTAATGGACTCCCCCATAACAAAATCTCAAATACCGTCTATGGGAAGAGAGGATAGGGATATGCAAATAGGCCTCGGTAAGGTCTATAGAAGAGAAGAGACCGCCCCTCCTAACACCGTCAAGAATAGATTTTAGTGATTGCATCTTAAATTTACGGTATACCACATACCGATTTAAGCGTTTTAGGTCAAGAATGGGTTTCCATCCCCCCGAGGACTTAGGCACGAGAAAAACACGGGAATAAAATCCCATCCCCTTTTGATCGGGAGGCACAAGTTGGATAGCCCTGATCGCAAGGAGATGCTGAACCGCAGAGTCGATAAGAGCTCTCTTTTCGGTATTACGAGAAAGCGGGCAGCAGACAAAGGTACTTGGAGGGGGGGAAAGAAATTCAATGGCCATTCCTGATTGTAAGGTGGCCAGGACCCATTTATCAGAAGTGGACTTCTCCCAAATAGCGGTGAAAAGGGCCAATCTACCGCCTATGGGAGGGCCCGAGATGCAACTAGCGACGGCGCCGGTAGGAACGACCTCCTCCCCCTCGAAAGGGCCATTTGGACACAAAGGGCTTACCCTGGAGAGACCTATCTTGGGAACCTGGTTGCCTGGCAAAATTGGTGTATGGGTGGGGCGAAGGGAAGGAAGAAGACGCACCGCCATCCGCACCTCTGCCTTGGGGACGAGAGGTATAGGGTGAAAACCGTGATTCCCCGTGACGGTAAACCGCCGCCAACACCTTCTTCTTATCTCTTGTTTCAGTAAGGAAAGGCTCTAGAGCTTCCCCAAATAAACTGGAGCCCCCGAACGGAACAGAAGCCAGATGCCACTTATGCCTGGCGTCCGCCTGCCAATGGCAGAGCCAGACCAGACAATGAGCAGCGAAAGCAGAGGCCAGGGACTTGGCGGCAAAGCGTGCAGCGTTAAGGGTGGAATCTGCTGAAAACTGGACCGCTGCCACGATCTTATTTAAATCCTGCTTGGCCCGAAGGTCCTCAGTAGGTAATTTGTCCTGCAATTGACGCAGCCAGAGCAAGGTGGTATGATTGAAAAGGGATGCTGTCGTGGGTGCCCGAATCGCCCATGCTGAACCTTGATGTGCTCTCTGAAGGACCAAATCAGTACGCCGTTCGTCAGGCTGCAGTCCTTCATCAGGATCCCCCGGGACGTTGGCGTTGGGTAACAAAGCCGTAACCAAGGCATCCACCGATGGGAGTTGGAGGATAGAGTCCAGATCCGAGGCGACATTAAAATTCTTCCAGTCGTTAGACGAAGGAAGAGGAGCCGTACCCGGCGAAGACCACTGCTGCTTGACAACGTCCACAAAGAGAGCGGGGGCAGGGATGGTTGTGACCTGTCGAACTGGCTCTGCAAACATAGGGTCTAGGGCCCCCGGAGGAAGCGAAGCCACTGGAGTCGCAGCTGGAGACGATAGTTGAGCCGTATTCATGGCTTTGAAAAGTAAAGACTTAAATAAAGATTGAGGAAAAAGTCCGGTAAAGGCCGGTTGATCTGGAGGCAGATTCTCATCCTCCGATAACCCGGAGTCACTATAGTCAGCCTCAGCCAAGTCAGACGGATGGCTCGTGTGGGAACACGAAGGGGAGTCCGGAGCTCTGGTTGACACATCCTCTTCAGAACATGACCGCTCAGGAGAAATGGATCTCACGGAGGCAGAGCGACTCAAGGGGCGAACACCAGCAGCTAGCAATTTTTGCACTGCAGCTTCAATAAGTTGTTGCAGCTGGTCAGGGTGCAGCTGATAAGAGATAGGCCCAGGAGGTGGAGTGGGCGCCGTCAGTTGAGCAGAGACATCCTGCGGTACTTCAGGGACAACCGGAACCGAAGCCAAAGGAGCAGGTGTACTGGATCCCCACAAGTCCGAAGTGGAGATGGCAATAGGGCAGTCCCGAAGGGAGAGTTGATCAGGGGTAACAGGTCGTGGAGACCGAACAGGATCCAAGGGCTCGGTAGGCAAAGGGGCTTGCAAAACAGCGGCGGCAAGATGAGCACTCGCCTTGTTACAAAGCTTTGTCAGAACTTTGTCTCTGCGTTTCTCCACCTTTGAGGGAGTTCCGCCATACTTGTGTGATTTGTGGTGGGAGCAAGAATGCTGAGAAACAGGAGCCGGCTCTATGGTGTGCTGGCTGGAAGATTGATGGGTAACAGACAAATTGTCTGATTGGCCAAGGTCAGTAGCATCGGCCCTCCGACCGTGCTAAGATTTCGATGAAGCCTTAGGCATAATGGCAGAAAAGAGGCAATAGGGCTAGTCAAAAGACCAAATTTCTTGGCAGTTGGCAAAAAACAGGGGGAGCGCAGAAACTCCGCAAACGAGGCTAGTGGCATACTGTCACAGGCAAGTCGAATGTAATGGGAGCGCGAAATCTCCACAAAATGGCCGCCGCGCCTCTGAAACAGTCCAAGAAAATGGCGGCCGTCAATATAGTCGCTGAAGGAAGTGCCACTAAGATCACACTGCCAGTAATGGGGGGGGGCCCGCAAAGCTCCACTAGAGGAAAACAGCAGCCCAATGCCGAAAAGCCAAATCAGATCGCTCCCACTAAACAGCATAGGGAGCACGAAGCTCCACCAATTCCGAGCCCAGCTGATCGGCGGTTGTCGTCGAGAGCGATGGCATGGCTCCGCACACAAGTAGCCGATGGAATAATCGCTCAGCAGCGGCATACATAAATCGGAGGTTTACTGTTCCAATTAGCCCCCTCGTAGTATGCAAGACAGCCAGAGAGACAAGAGATAAAGAATTCGGCCAAAAATCACTTTAAAACGGCACGAAGAGTTCAAAATGGCCGCTGCCGCTCCTGCGGCGTGAAAAAACAGCCGTAGGGGAACAACTCGATCAAGGTAGCCCACAGATGGAATTGCGTTCCGCTCCTGCGGCGTGGAAGGGAGTCAGAGGAATCATGACCTTCACAAAGTCCTTTCGCGACCCCCCTCGATCTGCTGCACCCCCCAGGAGGCTCCCAGCAAAGGGGAAAAACACCCCCACCCCCAGAAAGAGCGAAGGCTAGCCCCTGGGGAAAGTCCAAAGTAAAACTCATGATAAGATTCAAGAGTCCAATACAACCAGAAGCCAAAGGGTGAAGAAGAAATCATAGTCAGACAGTCCAAATTGAAAAATACCAAAAAGAGCAAGACACGGAGTCAATTGGAGAAAACGTTTAAGAGCTAGAGACCCAGATGCCCGTCCAAACTGAAGGACTGGTCAAAAGCTGGTCTGTCTGGCAACAAAGGTGGGATTTAATATTATTGACAGACTCAGTCCTTCAGGCTGATTGGGCGAGTACTACCCATACTGGCTGCTGTCTCCACCCTCAATGAAGAACAGCATGAAGATTCTGACCTCTCCCATGAAAATATAGATTATTGTAAAAATATCTGAAGATCATTCATTTGTAAATACCCATGATAATTATTAATATAGCAATGAAGCTCTAACATTACTTTTTGTCTTAATCTTAAAGAGTTATCGTAAATAGCATTTATTTAAGCAAATAGGTCTTGGAAGCTTAAAATAGTTTTAATGACTGCTTACATTTATAAAATTTATAAGTAGAACATTAAAAATGCATGAAAACTGGCTGAGTGACTTTGGGCCAGTCATTCTATCAGTCCAACCCACCTCACAGGGTTGTTTTGGTGGGAAATATGGGAGGAGGAGGAAGTATCAGAGTTATTTATAAAAATAATAAAGGCGGGATAAAAGAATCTAAAAGAAGAAATGTGAATGAAAATAAATTATCTAAAAGATATTAATCACATATGTTGAATCCACCAATATGTTAATTTATTAAAGATATAGATTAGTGTCTTGAAAAGAACTGTCCCACAGAAAAAGCAAAAGTATGCTTATCCTTTTCTCCCCTGGAATTAATAGTGAGATGTAGTTAAATTTCAAAAGAAGAGGGAAAACAATTAATTCTGAAGTTATAAAAGTAAAATTACACCAGAAAATCACACATACTACTTACCTAAGTGGCAACTGAAATATTAACATTAAATTAGCCACAATTAAAAATGTGTAATAGTCTGGATTAGACAGATTATTTTATGACAGAAGTATGATTAGAAAAATTTAATTTTATTTCTTAATTACCCCTAGGGACCAACAACAAAGTTAAAATAACATTACCAATTCTAATTAAAGTACTAAAATTTTTAAGAGTTGCCAAAAATATTAAGGACAGTTCAAAATCATTACATATCTAATATATTAATGAATAAAAATCAAGGAAAGCCCTTGGCAACAATGATATCCTTCCCTAATCCTTTCAACCCAGAAGTGCCTTAAACATTGCCTCCAACATGAACAGGATGGGACACATTTATATTTCTCTCCTTGGAATGCTTATGTGATGGTAGACACTATATACCATTCTGGTACCCCATGTGGTATTTTTATAGGAATAAACAGCAGGAAAATCATAATTAAAAATCATTTAGATTATATATGTAACCAAACATTTGAGATCTAAGAAGACTGTCACAAAACTAAAGAAACACACTTTAGTAAGTACTGCTTCGGTAGATGCAAAATTTGATCAAATGTCTGAAACAGTAAAAGTCATTTTAAGAATTAACCTTTCTGTCTAGTTTAAGGATTTACAAATGACCACAGAACTTTATTTTTTCTATAGCCAAAAGGCATAACTAATTTTAGGCAGAGTATTAGGATGTAATTTTTTATCTGGAGAAGTTTAAATATGTATTATTTTTATAAGGTCATTTTGGTGAATAAAAAAGGAAATAAATAAGCTTATATGGTTTTATACCTCACTTGTAACACTCACAATAAAAAATGAAGTATTTATGTACATACCAAGATTTTTGTATTATAAATATATCCTTGTATATGTTTTAAAAAGCTTACTTTTCTTTTGAAGTAGTTTGGGCTTCTTGTAGTGTCACCTTTGGTTTAGTATTTCCATCTTTTGAAGTCCGTTGTCTTCTTTTTCTACTTGGAACTATATCAGTAATATCTGGACTACCAAGTAATGAATCTCTTCTGGGTTTGACTGTCAGAACAGAAAAGATAACATAATAAGACAGGGAATTAAATTATCAATTCTGGGAACATTATGAGAAGGCTGCTTATCCGGGGTAGTCTGAACGGTAATTAGAGTAGAAATAATTCAAGATAATTATTTTAGGCAATATGAATAGCAAATGTTACAATTGTTGATGCCTTAATAAATGCACATTTATATCTCTGGGCAAAATTTAGGCCATATTCCTCTGCTCCTCTTACATTTGCTTCTGCTCACCATGTTAAGTTTGCTCTTTCTCCACTTTACAGAAAAATACCAAAAATACCAAAAATACCCAACAACTCTGGGCAACTCACAATAATCAAATAAAGGAAATTACAGTAAAATCAGGAAAAGGTAAAAGATGGCAAGTGCCACAGCGCAGATGGAATGGAGTAAGCGGTCCCACTTTTTGTTATCACAGGTCTTCACTGGAGTTCTAAACAACAGCAGAATGAGGATCATCCAGATTCAGGGGGAAACTTATTCCAGAGGGCAGGTGCTTCTACAAAGAATGTGTGCTTCCAGAATCCCGATAAATAACATTGTTTATTCCAAGAAACCCAAGGCGTGCTGACTCTGCAGTGGTTGGGGAGATACTATACAAGACAGGCAGTCCCTCAAGTAATCAGGTCCTATGTCACAAAGGACTTTATAGGTAACAACCACCCCCTTGAATTAGACTCAGAAGCAAGATGGCAATTGGTGCACCTTGCAAAGCAAATGTATTACATGGGCATACCAAAGCACCCACATCACTGCTCATACTGTTGCATTCTGGATCAGTGGAAACTTCTGTATAGTCTTCTAGGGCAGCCCTACATAGTGTGTGTTGCAGTGAAATGCATATTGATCTAGTTACATACTACTTCCAAGAATAAACTTTCATTTTATTAACTTAAGATTTCTAAACTTAAAAAAATGTTTACATTCTCTCTAAAGGTAGCTCTACCATTTTTAAAACATCTTCAAACCTTTTATTGTCTTAAAAATGTTTCCAAATATCCAAGTGAAGAGATCAAAGTTTGCAAAAGAAAAAGATGGGAAATTCATTTTCCAGATTCTCCTTTTCTGATTTGCAAGGAACCAGCTTGATGGCATACAATCTCATTTTTATGTTTCCCACGATGCAAATGTTAGAGGAAATAAACTTTTTTTTCCCATTTATGAATTAATCCCCAGGATTTAGGTTAATAGATAGAACACACATTAATTCAAGCTTTTAAACAGAGGATAATTCCATTACTAGAAGAAGTATGCTGGTCTCAATAGGTCTCATTCCTAAACAACTAAAAGATATTAATGATAATAGTTTCACTTATTAAATTTAAGTTCTCACAGATGCTGTTTGATTTTTCTCCATAATATAAAGAAATGTTTTTTTAGTCATATCAAGATTTAAAATTTCAGGTCACATGTAATATAAGTACTATAAATTATATATAGAAATTGTATCTTTACACATTTAAAAACAAGATTCTTTACACAATACAGCCTCAGATTAACAATGACAAATCCTGCTGTAATAATTTAAAGCAAATTTGTTTCCTGATGCATTCTATTCTGCTATACTAAAATGCCCAGAGGGAAACCCTTGTGTGATACCATTCAAAGAGTCGAGGCTATACATAATATTTGGTTCAGGCATCCCCAAAGGATAATAAAGAATAATCAAATATCTGCTTCTGCTCAGAGCATTACAAATATTCAATTGATTGAATAGAGAATGTAAATGTTATATTTCTTTCAGTTTGGTGTAGTGGTTAAGGCATCAGAATGGAAACCAGGAGATGGTCTGACCTTAGGCAAACTGGGTGTCTTTGGTCCAATCACTCTGCAGAGAAAATTGCAGAGGAGTCAAAATAGACTTGAAAACTCCTCCCCCACAAACACACTTGTTTCAAATGTGGCAATGACCCAAAGAGTCTATTCTCTTTTGTATTAAGGATGAGATTCCATAATTTCTATCAAATTCTTTTTTTCCGTTTCATGGACAAGCAGGCATGGACATGTAATGACTATATGGTAAGGTGACCAATCGTTCTCCTTTAGGGAGGACAGTCCTTCTTTTGTAAGTTCTGTCCTCGCTCGAAAAGTGCCCTCCTACATGTCCTCCTTTTCGATATTTGAAGACTAATCTGTAAATCTCTGTATTCGATCGATGCAGATCCGATCCATTGCGTGTGATGTGACGTATTTGTATTTGACATGACAATTCGTCAAGGCTCAGTACAGTGCAGTGAGACACGATTATGAAATGCATGCGCTCCGCACAGGAGAATTGTTTTGAGAGAGTGCGCCGCGCGCAAGTGGCTTTGTTTATTTCTTACTGAAACATGACACGGCACACAAGCATGCATTAGACTCCAAAATGTATTTGTGTCCTCCTTCTCATTGCAAAAAAGTTGGTCACCTTATATATGGGAAGAGAAGAAGCAATTGATGTTTTGTCATGGTGCAGAATACTGCCTTCAATTCTTTGGATCAGAGTCTACTGATCCTTTAAAAAAAAGAAAAGCTTAAAAAGCCTTTTCTTTGCTTACATAATGTTCATAGAACTATAACGTTCCATATAATTTGTCAAAGAGGCAAACTATATTTGTCTAACTGTACTTGAACTCCTTAAGATTTTCAGGAATAACTGTTATTAATTTGGCACTTGAAAAATGCATTACATGTTATGTAATATCTCTTGAAATGAACAACACAATATCAAGCAACTAAATGAAATTAAGATTACTGGTTTTGGCTAAAACTAGCACAAATATTTGAGGTATTAAAATACATTCCTTTCAAAGTAAAGATATAGTTTTTCTAAATATTTCTGTTTTGATAATTGCCATTACAAGCCAAAAAATGTTTTAAATTATATACATATTGTTCTATTTATAAGGAAGAATAAGGGAAAGAGATAAAATACCCACATTTATTTGCATTACACCCAAATTGAAAAAAAGAAAAAACAGATCAATTATAGCAACACATCCTAGCCCTGTACTCTAAGGCACTTATCGCAATAGCACTTATATCACTTCATAGTGCTTTACAGCCCTCTCTAAGCAGTTTAAAAATTCAGCATACTGCTTCCAAGAATCTGGGTCCTGAGTTCATTTACTGAACTCAGAAGGAAGAAAGGCTGAGTCAATCTTGAGCTGGTGAGAATCGAACTGCTGGCTCTTGGCATAATTAGCCTGCAGTACTCTCCCACCTTTAGGAGATATATCAATCAAACAGGGTTTAAATAAAATGAATATTTAGCTCAAAATGAGAAAAAGAAAATTCTAAGCTGTTTCCTGTGAAATTTTCAGTGGTGGAAGAGACAAAAAACATAAGAGCTTTTATAATAACAGGCAGCATCCTAAGAAAATGTGGGATAATTGTGTTGGATAATGCTCCAACACTGGAATTTTTTAAGAAGATGTTGGATAACCATTTGTCTGAAGTGGTGTAGGGTAGACTAGAAGACCTCCAAGGTCCCTTCCAACTCTGTTATTCTATTCTAAAATCTCCCCCCACAAACATGTTTGTTTGTGTGTGTGTATGTCTATATATATTTCAGGAAAAGTTCTAAACAACCATAATAAGATGCTAGTCTCTTTCTAATTTAGCAGCAATTCTAGTGGGAAATGGTTTTACTTTGCACAAAAAACACAAAATGGCTGAACCGGAGATAAAGAAACATAAACTAACAGACCCAGAAATTTATTTATTTGTTCATTTGTATATGGCCATCCATCTCACAAGAAAAGACTCTGAGTAATATAGGTAAAGGTAAAGGTTCCCATCGCACATATGTGCTAGTTGTTCCCGACTCTAGGGGGTGGTGCTTATCTCCATTTCAAAGCCGAAGAGCCAGCGCTGTCTGAAGACGTCTCTATGGTCATATGGCTGGCATGACTAAACACTATAGGCACACGGAACGCTGTTATCTTTCCACCAAAGGTGTCCCTATTTTTCTACTTGCATTTTTTACGTGCTTTCAAACTGCTAGGTTGGCAGAAGCTGGGACAAGTAATGGGAGCTCACTCCATTACGCGGCACTAGGGATTCGAACCACTGAACTCCGACCTTTCGATCGACAAACTCAGGTCTTAGCCACTGAGCCACCACATCCCTTGGACTGAGTAATATACACTACAGCAAAAAAAAAGTATTAAAACAATAAACATGCCAAACAGTAATATTTTTCTGAAAAGCACACTACACAAGAGATTTGATTAGCTATAAAAGTCATTTCAAGATCTCATTGATTCCCTGAGACATCCCCCCTCCCCTCCAGGACTGACACTTTTGGAAAATAAGGAATGGAGCTGATCTTGTTTCAAGGGGAATGTTAATTAAATATACATTTAATGTTAATGTGGCAGTTGTTAACTAACTTTCTACACAACAGATTAATATTGAATAAAATTCACTCTTAGATTCAACTGCGACCTAGAAATTAAAAGGAAGTAGGAAGTACTTGTGGCTAGGATGATTTTTGCCGAATTTGATTTAGTGCAATTGCAACCATTCTTGGATGAAAACATTCTTATCACAGTACCTTATGCTCTCCTCATCTCTTGGTTACTAATGCAATGTTGAGCTGCTCTTGAAGACTGCCCAAAAGCTACAGCTGGTTCAGAATACAGCAGCTTCTCAGGTTATAGGTGCACATCATTAAATCCAAGTGACATCACTACTGCAAGAACTACATCTGTGTCAATCCTTCAAGATAGACATGTCAGGAAACAAAGAGCGTAAGAAATATTGCAACTCTATTTCATGCTATGGAATATAATAACAAAAGCTTGAAAGCCTGACAGACATTTGGTTATACACTAAAGAGGATCAAGGCAAAGCTATCTTCATTACCCTCTTCTGTCTAATTAGCCTAAACTGATGCTCACAAAATTTGCTTAATTTCTTTTTCAAAATCATCATCACACTTCCCTACAAGCTGCATTATTGATTGAATTATGGGTACTATTTAAGGTGCTGGTTATTCCCTTTAAAGCCTTGCATGACTTAGGACCTTAGCATCTTAGCACTGCACCACGGTGACGCAGTGGTTAAAGTGCAGTACTGCAGTATACTTCTGCTGATCACCGGCTGCCAGCAGTTTGGCAGATCGAATCTCACCAGCTCAAGGTTGACTCAGCCTTTCATCCTTCTGAGGTCAGTAAAATGAGGACCCAGATTGTTGGTGGCAATGTGCTGACTCTGTAAACTGCTTAGAGGGCTGTGAAGCACCGTGAAGTGGTATATAAGTCTAAGTGCTATTGCTATCTTCAAGTTTCCCTCTAATAAAACCCAATCAAATCTAGGAGAAGTCTCTCTGGATACCTATGTTAAGAGTCCCTCTGGGACTAGAGGATGGAGGGGCAGGCTTTCTCCATTGTGGCCTCTCTTCTTTGAAACAATATACTTTTGAGATTAAATTTGGATGAATCCTATTAGGGTTGAGAAAAAACTGTTTTTGTTG